CGGTGGCCTGCTTTGTTGGAGAGGCCTCGTGTGATTCTGACATGTCGCCAGAAATGAGCATTGTCTTTTTAAATTTTTTTATTTTACTTTAAGTTCTGAGATACATGTGCAGGACACGCAGGTTTGTTATACGGGTATACATGTGCCATGGTGGTTTGCTGCACCTATCAACCTGTCATCTAGGTTTTAAGCCCCGCATGCATTTGGTATTTGTCCTAATGCTGTCCCTCCCCTTGCCCCCACTCCCCGACAGGCCCCAGTGTGTGATGTTCCCCTCCCTGTGTTCTCATTGTTCACCTCCTTCTTATGAGCGAGAACATGCGGTTGGTTTTCTGTTCCTGTGTTAGTTTGTTAAGAATGATGACTTCCAGCTTCATCCATGTCCCTAAAAAGAAATGAGCATTTTTTTCTTTTTTCTTTTTTTTTCTGAGATGGAATTTCGCTCTTGTCCTGCCAGGAGTATAGTGGCTCTATCTCAGCTCACAGCAACTTCCACCTGCTGGGTTCAAGCGATTCTCCTGCCTCAGCCTCCCAAGCGACTGGGAATACACGAGTATGCCACCATGCCCAGCTAATTTTTTTATTTTTAGTAGAGACAGGATTTCACCATATTGGGAGGCTGGTCTCGAACTCCTGACCTCGTGATCTGCCCGCCTCGGCCTCCCGAAGTACTGGGATTACAGGGGTGAGCCATGGCACCTGGCCCCAGAAAGGAGCATTTTCTAAAACTTGAAAACCTACCAGGTGAGTCTCTGGTGCTGTTTCTATTTTATTTATAAAACGTCTTGCTTGGCAACGTGGCATCATTTTTTCTTTCCTGTGATTTCCCTCCTTCTGCTTTTTTTCTTTTTTTCATTTTTAATGTTTCTGACTGATTATTGCCATTTCAGGGACTATGCCAAAGCTCTCTGAAGTAGCAAAATCCTCCTTATCTCTAAATCATCCCTAAGCTCCCAGCAATGGCAGGCAGCCCTGGGCAGGCCCTGCACCCAGCAACCTCTGCCCACAAGCACACATCTCCCCCAGCATGGTTAAACCGTGTCCACCTGGCTCCACAAGCTTTCTAAAGGAGAAAAGAGGTAAGCCCTCCAACCCCTCAAATATACACCATGATGAAGATGTTGAGCCCAACAAATTACAGACAAACGTTTGAGATCAGCATGTGAGAAAGTGGGCTTGGCAGAACCTGTTTGGCCAGATGTTCACAGATGTTGCAGGAAAGGGGGCCAAATGTGGAAAGGCTGGACAGGGTTGACCCACAGGACTCCCCTGACTCTAAGCTGCAAATGTGCATCCCAAGCCTATTCCAGGGCCCCAAATCCTGCACTTCCCGAGTCTGTTTGACTCTTGGAGCAAGCACCTCTCAAGGACCAGTTAGCTTTGCAAATGCAGAAGCGGGATGCCTGGGCATAACCCAGGAACAAGCCCAGCTTCACTGAGACACAGACTCCTTTTTTCCAGGCTGGTTGTGCTCATGCAAATACAGCAAAGTCACCGCAATGCAGGCCCCGGCCAGGACCCTGGTCTGTCTGGTCCCCACTGTGGTCTCAGTGTCCAGCGCGGTATCCAGTGTGTCTGGTCCCCACTGTGGTCTCAGTGTCCAGCGTGGAACCTGGCATGCAGATGTTGGGGATAGGCTACATTTTAGTAACGACTTTTTAAAAACAAATAAATGAGTGAATGGGGCCGGGCATGGTGGCTCACGCCTGGAATTCCGGCATTTTGAGAGGCTGAGACAGGTGGATCACCTGAGGTCAGGAGTTTGAGACCAGTCTGGCCAACATAGCGAAACCCTGTCTCTACTAAAAATACAAACATTAGCCGGGTACACTGGCATGCACCTGTAATCTCAGCTACTTGGTAGGCTGAAGCAGGAGAATCACTTGAGTCCGGGAGGCGGAGGTTGCAGTGAGCCCAGATCGCGCCACTGCACTGCAGCCTGGGCGACAGAGCGAGATTCTGTCTCACAACATATATAAATAAATAAATAAATAAATAAATAAATAAATAAATAAATGGATGGATGATAACACTGTGAATGACTTCATTGTCTACACAACAGTCACATGTCAGATCTTTAAGGAGGTGTTTTGTCAGAATCGCCTCTGTTTTGATGCACGTGAGATTGACATCTGGGGCAGCCAACGGGGCAGTCAGGGAGACAGAACTCTCTGGCACCACTTTTGAGCTTGAGGGTCTGCTCCCATCTCTGACAATGGGATTCACAGCAGGGTGCAAGCAGGGCTGAGAATAGGATGAGGCAGGCGAGGCACAAGGATGCAAAACACTCAGCAATGTCACCTCCAGGCTCACGCAAGCGCGGGGCCGGTCTCTACAAGTGAGGCCTCCTTGATTCTGAGCCATGAGCATGGCACTTGGCTCACCATTGTCCTGGCCCTGCAGGTCTCAGGCAGCAGGAAAATACCAGGAAAACAGAGCTTGTCTTCCTGGAGTGTAGATTTTGTCCAAAGACTTGGCACGGGAACTAATTTTTCTGTTAAAAAGATACAGAAAAGATCAGAGAAGAATGCAAAACCGAAGAGTTTTTAAGATAAAACATGCCCCGGGTCCTAGGAATATAAGCCCTTGTTTTCACCTTTAGTGGGATCTGGGTAGAAATTTGAAAGAAGTTCCAATTAAACTGTTGATAAAAAGATTAGAAGACAGAATATGTGCTTATTGAATCTGCAGGAGACATGCACTGTCATCATCTTAAGATTCCTAAACATCAGAGCAGAGAAGAACAATGCACTGAAGTGGCCTTTGTCCTGGATAAAATTCCATGCTGCAGTTAAAAGCAAAGCTAGCTGCACAGGCATTGGTCTACGGAATATGACTGAGCAGCCTCCGAGTGCTGGGCTCTGTGCTGGGGCAGACGTGCAGCTGTGAGATCAAGTGGCAAATCACAGGCGAGTGCCTGGAGGAAGAGAGCTGTTACAGTCCTGTTCGGATAGTTTCCATTTCACTCCTCCTTCAAGACCCAGTGGTGACTAAAAGCCTGTAAGAAGAAGATTTTTGAATTGCAGATAAACCACGATAAGCTCCATGTATTAGACCAGGCAAGATATGCCTTAAGGACAACTCAACAGTGCTTAGATTCTCAAATTCTGAATTCCACTGAGTTTAATTATCTGAACATGACAACACCGTGAGGGTTCATTGATAAAACCTTGAGTTCTAGCAATGCTGCCTGTTCATTCATTCATTCTTCATCCATCCTTCCATGTGTCTGGCACTGTCGGGGCACTGAGATTCTCCAGTCCCCAACTACTCCTCAAAGCATCCAGTGGTAGAGACAGACACGAACCAGTGAGTCTCACACGGAGCCAGCGGTACTGAGGGACAAGAGCTCGGGTGCAGGGTCAGGGTGACAGTGAGATCTGCACCATGAGTGGATGGTGCCTGCTGGGGCAGGTCACTGAACGAGTGCTCAGCAGTAGAACAGGACCCTGTGTGAGAGAGAATCTGGGAGAAGCTTGGAAAGCAAGGTCACAGGTCCAGGACAAGAGTGGAGAGAGGCACTCACCTTGCACCCCAAAATTTAAGGGCACACAAAAAAACTCAGTGATCAAGATAAAGAATATTTTAATGATTTTAATGCAACACTTAGAAAACAATCAAAATTAATGTGAAACATTCATGATAAATAAAATATCAAATTTTAAAATCAGGACAGGGTCTCACAACACCAAGGTCACGGTAAGGTGAGTGAGGCAGGTCTTGCAGGTGCAGGTCGAAGCCCATCATGACCTAAAACTTTTATATCACATTTTTTGCATTAATTTTTATTTGTTAAGCATTGCATTATTGATCTTGATTCTGAGTAATTTCCACCCCTTTTTCCATTTGTGCACTTGTGGTCAATGCTCTCTCTCCCTACCCTGGTCCCACCCTCCAAGGACGAGGGATTGGGGAAGGAGGCAGGGGCCGGACTACATCAGAGGTTCAAGGGTCATGCTCCAGACATTGGTCCCCACTGTCTCCAGGGAGTGCGAGCATATTTTAACCCTTTTCATTAAATGTCCAACACTACCAAAGTGATTAAATAAATTATGGAATGTCCTTATGATGGACTATTTATACAGTTATTAAAACTGATGTTTGCATACTTTTAATGCAAGCATACTTTGATGTATGCAGAGTATTTTTTTAATAAAACGGAAACGGCGTGTTTGTGCCTGACATTGAGTGCAGACTGCATACACACAGCGCAGTGGCACTCAGCACAGGCTGTCATAGACAAGGACCTGGAAGAAAATATTTTGAGATTAATAATGGTCAGAATATGTGAAACTTCTGCTTTCTCCTTTATAGTTTTTTGTTTGTTTGTTTTCTTCTACAATTTTAGAATTATCTTGATTTCCTTTCACTACAAGAAAAGAAATACTTCAATACATTAGTAAATATTTTGGAGTAGAGGAGACTTTTAAGAGGGTGGTTATGAGTAGTTGTATATTCACAATAGCAATATTCCCCCCCTGGAGAGTGAGCTAGTAAACACGTGCTCTGTTATAAGTAGCTGTAGGGCTTTGACATTGTCGTTACATTCAAAATGAGTTCACGTTACGCTGATGGGGCGTCCCGAGGGAAGCCGGACCTTGCTGCAGAGCTTGGCTTATAAGGAGCAGAGAGCTGGGTGCTTCCCCAGCTGATTACCGGCTTCTGTCCTGTGAGTTCCAAGCCGCAAAACTCTGGGCAAGTCACTTATCAGCTGTGATCCATCTGTCCCCTTCGATAGAGCAGCATTAGTGACTCCTGGCTTCCTCACAGGGCCACCAGGAGGGTCAGCAGACGCCCTTGGTGGGAGACTGCAGGGCTGTTGGGATGAGGACTCCCCAGCTATTGCAGGGTCCATACAACAGTTTGGGGGACAGCAGCCTCCAGGTCAAGTTCTGGTCTGCTGTGACCCTGGGACTCCGAGATCCCTGTGGAAAGACTGAACTACTCACATCATGCTGACCACTGGAATTTGCAAAGCCTGTTGACATTTGAGAGCTCACCTCTAAGCCACCCGGCTGTTCTGTGAGGTGGACGAGGTGGACAACGTGGGGGAAGTGGTGCTCCTGCAACAGACAGTGAAACTGATGCTCAGAGATTGGATCTCAGGAACCCAAGTCCCCAAGGTGGCCCAGTGGGTCTTAGAGCCTGACTGGGCCCAGCCCCCAGACTCCAAGGCCAGGCCTCTTTTTACTATCCTCTGTGAGATGGAGATGGGTTTACTATGTCCATTTTACAAATAGGGAACCTGAGACTCCCAGAAGGCCAGGTGACGAGCCCAACTCATATATGGTCAGATCTGTCAGGTAACATATGGTTCCTAAAAATCTCCATACCATGCAGGGCTTATGGCAAAAATGGGGTCAGGAGCACAACACTCAAAACATTACCGGTAACATTAAAAACAAAGATAGAAGCCGAATAAAATGATAGCACCATTTTACACACATTAAATGTGTGGGAAATGCATGAACACTAAAGTAAACATGGCACTTACCTTGGGAAAGATCTGAATTCCCCTGTGCACCTGGGCCCAAGAAGAGTTACAGTTTCTAAGTGATTGTGTGGTGGAGGAAGGGAGGTTACCCGAAATGGAGCAGACGGTTGTAACACCAGGTGCGGATAGGTGTGGCTCCTAACCCACAGCTGAGGTGGCATTGGAGGGCCACGTGTGTGTGCACATGCTTGTGTGTGTGTGTCCTGCAGGGCTTGACCAAGCAGGATGTAGTTTTCTGCAACGGCCTAGCATTTCCTGAGGACAAAATCACATATAGGTAAAAACCAAATTCACATCACACTCAAATTATCCACTAACACGTCAATCACACTAGAACAAATTTGGGTTTTCAAGACAAGCCTCGGAGCAGAACTGGCTGTACCTAGCGAAGGGTGGGGCCGCAAGTGAGACACAGGCTTTTCTTTTTTCTGAACCCAAAGTGTTCTTTCCATAGGATGTTTCTGCAGGCATTTCCTCCTTTCTCTTCCTCTTAGCCTGGCTCCAGGCTGGCAGGAGATAGCATCGGCTACCTGCAGCAAGTGGGGTTAATGGGGTGGCAAGGGCAATGGGGCAGGAAAAATTCTGAGACTACGCCTGAACCAGCAGAGGGAAGCCATAATAGGTCACGGTGTCTCTTGGAGACACAGATAAGGGAGTTTTGTACTCTACTCCGGATCTGCAACTTGCCAACTGCAGGGGCTTGGACAGGAGACTCAGCTTCCTTGAGGCTTGGTTTCCTCATCTGTAAAATGGGAATAAATGTAGTACAACCCTCACCAGGTGAGTTTAAGGGTTAACTGAGATCAGGCATGTAGTAAGTGTTCAACAAACCCTGATGACCTTGTTCTTCCTCCTCCCCTTCCTCTTCTCCCTCTTCCAAATCTCTTCCTACTTCTTCATAGTCATCTTTGTCATCATCACCATTATTATCATCACCATCGTCATCCTAGCACCAAAGAAAAAAAGTCACAACCCAGCGGTTCCTGAGACACTGACGATGGAGCCAGTTTTCTAGGAGCATCAGATTCTTAATGGATCCTCTGGGTCTGAGGCACATCATTAGGTGTCCTTGCACCCTAGACTTCACTTACCGCAGGAAGCAGGCTCTTCCTTGAGGAAAGCAGCAGGAGCAAAGCTCTCCTCGGCTTGGTACCCCCTCGTGGCAGTTTTCCTACTGGGTCCTGTGCTGTGGCTTTTCTTCCCTGGAGCCCTGCATTTGTGCGCATTCCTTCCGTGCACTGTATGTTCTCAACGCCGATCGCCCACATGTCTGAAACCAGGAGGCCAGCTCCAGGGAGGTGGGACATGTCTGGGAGGTGGTTTCAGGTATTCAAAGTACTGTCCACAGACTACAAGCATGGGCATTGCCTGGGAGTTTGTTAGGAATGCAAAATCTCAGGCCCAGCCAGGAACCATAACCTGCTTTTTTTTTTTTTTTTTTTGAGACGGAGTCTCGCTCTGTCGCCCAGGCTGGAGTACAGTGGCGCGATCTCCGCTCACTGCAAGCTCCGCCACCTCCCGGGTTCACGCCATTCTCCTGCCTCAGCCTCCCTAGAAGCTGGGACTACAGGCACCCGCCACCACGCCTGGCTAATTTTTTTGTATTTTTAGTAGAGATGGGGTTTCACCGTGTTCGCCAGGATGGTCTCGATCCGACCTCGTGATCCGCCCACCTCGGCCTCCCAAAGTGCTGGGATTACACAGGCATGAGCCACTGTGCCCGGCCCAGAACCTGCATTTTAATAGGATCCTCAAGTGATTCAATGCACATTACAGTTCAAGCAGCACTGGTCTTAAGGGACACAAGAGCCACAGCCCATAAGTCTGGGCTCTGGGAGAAACGGCTATCCCTTGATATGTTGAATGCCTGTTTCTCTTGGTATGTCCTGGGGATTATGTGCACATGTCTAAACTCACATGGGATGGTGTTAGAATCCTGACTCCAGCTGATATTCTGTGTGGCTTCAGGCAATTGGCTCCACCTCTCTGAGCCTCTGTTTCTTTTACTGTGATCTGAAATCATAATAATAATAGTTATTAATGTTTGACACAAAACATTAATGCATTCAACACAGTTCTCAGCATGCAGTAAAACTCATAGGAAATGATATTATGACCACTATTGTTATTTGGGGTGAACACTGCAAGGTCCTCAACCAATATCCACTTTCGTTTTCTTCTTCACTAACAGAATCTCAATTTTACTCAGGCAGTAAATTGCATTTCACAATAGGCACATTATTAGATGTGCCTGTTTAACAACGTTCACCTTCCTAGACCTCCTTGAAACTAGAAATGACCATGTGACCATGGTCACAATCCTTTGGCAGGTTTCTCTCCTTAATAGAAAAAAAAAAAAAAAAGATTTTAAAATTTCCTTTCTTTCCTATCCTCCCTTCTTTCTTCTTGGACTCTGGATGTGATGTCTGGAGACAAAGCAGCCATTTTGCTCTCAGCATGAAAAGCACACTAGAAGGATGGGTAAGAGGAGAGAAAGAAGGCGGCTGGGTTTCAGTAGCACTGTGAAGCTACTATTTGGATTGCCCATCTCTGGACTTCATCGTATAAAGCAGGTGGGAGGATTAAAGCTCAATTTCTTAAGCTACCATTGAGTTTCTCTTACGTACAGCCCACATAGTCCTAACTGGTGATGCCATCATCGTGACACTATTACCATTATGATAGCTGTTGTTACTGACCATCTCTGGCACGCACTAAGGACTCATCCTGGATCCTTGGTTAGCATTTGCTAATTTCAGTTGAACAGTTTGAAGGAAACCTAACCTGGGAAACAGAATTGACTGTCAAGCCCCTTTAAAAAATGAGAATAAAAAGAAAACATAATCCAAATATCCACCAATGAAATCTGCTAAATGTATTTTGACATGCAGCTTTTCATGTTTATTTTTACACACACATTTAAAATATACACCTACTTGTAATGATAACGTGCACTGCGTATTGTTTTATAACCTGCTATTTTTCATGTATCTATACATTACCATCTTTTTCATGCCATTAAATTTGCTTCTACAATAAAAATAACAAATCAGGTAATGAGATGAGCCTGATCCTTCACTTGCTTCAGTTTTACCTTCCAAGAACTGTGTCTTTGCAACACTTATTTGGGCAGACATCACCCCCACAAATGCCTGAATGAGCATTTCCTGTTGAAAAGCTGCGTCGGGAAAGACGTCAGAGCTGCTGGCTCACTTTTTCTGGAGAGCGTCTTAGGATGCCCAGAAGAAACATGGGATAGTCACTCCTTAAACGGCTACTCGTTATGTTCCTCCGAATATTGCTGTGAAAAATTCACATCCATTTTCACAATGAATGCACATTTTTTACAATGATGAAAATGATGTAAGACTTTAATTCTGAAGTTCTACTCCAGGACTTCAAATGCTTCTTGTCCTGCTTTGGTCCAAGGTCCTGCATGTGTGGGAAGCCCTCTCTTCGGAAAGCAAGTGAATCAGAAATTACTTGTGAAACTGACTCCAATACTGATAATGGGCTGATAACAGAAAGAATAGCATCCTTAGTATGTCTCACTTAATAAAACAAGACAAGAAATTATTTGGAAAAGCACCTGCGCCAAGTCACAGGGGCCAAGCTGCCTGGGGGGCTCCAACCTCACCCTACCCCCACTGCACTCGCCAGGGCAGCCTGTCCTTGTCCCCAGCTAATTGTTCCTGTGTCAGACGGTGGACTCAGTGCTGCTGGATTCTTGAGGAGTGATAGAAATATACATTTTTATTTGAAATCTTCCCATTTTTAAATGTCAGCCACTTCTGAAAATCACAAAACAAAAAACAAAACCACTATAAGAGCCACAAAATAAAACCAGTCCACAGGCAGAGGCAAGCCACTGTTTGGAGTTAGCATGCTCTCCTTGCCAGCCTGTCTTGTTAGGGAGAGGACTGGGTTTCAGAAGAGACGTTGCCAGAGGGCCATCGCATTATGGTAATAGCCTTTTTGCTTAACATCGGTTTGCCCACACCCTGTACTTCAGGCACAAATGAGACAAATTAAGGGCATTCAGCTGGGAGCCAGCACATATTTTTTTCGTTAAGGAGCTGAGCGAGTCATTAACCGCCCAGGGCTGGTGGAAGGCGGGGGAGGCCCCAGCAAACCCAGGAGGTGCCCAGGACCCGTGACCTCATTCTGTCCCAGCCCAAGTCTTCACTGCTTCATGAGGAGCTGTGACAGCGTGGCCTTCTCCAGCCCCACACGGCGACAGCAAGGCCAGGGAGGCAGGGAGCTCGCTATTTCTGTTCCCCACAATCCAAGCCTCCAGACTCAGGTCTGGGATGACAGAGAAAATCCCAAAGAGTGCGCTTGCTGCACTTCACTGGCATGGAGCACTGTGACTAATGCCCACACTGAGCCCGGTGCTCCCTAAGCCCTGGCTGATACCACTGGGCGCTCACACTGTTGGGTTCCAAGGCCTTCCTGAGTCATCTTGCCTTCCCTCTAATTGCACAGCCTTCAGCCTATATAGGATGATCAACTCTTCTCGGTTTGCAGGGTTTTGGTACCGAAAGTCCCACATCCCCAGCAGCCCTTCACCCTAGGCAAACCAGAACACTTGGTCACTCTGAGTCTATGCAAAGCCCAGGGAGTTGATTTTGAAGCCACAATTGAGAAGTCCCATCCGACTGCAGAAGGGCATAATTTTAAAAAATCAGAACCTGGGCATTTCAGCTAGGTGGGCTGGAGTACAGAATACTCGATTGGACTTTGCTTCCAAGGGTAGAAGGGTGGTACTGACCACAGCTGGGTAGTCCTACAAGCAGCTGGCCACCCTCCACAACCTTGCTACCCAAAGTGTGGTCCCCAGGCCAGCAGTATCAGCACCACCTGGGAACCTTTCAGAAATTCAGACTCTCAGGCCTCAGCCTGGACCAACTAGATCAGAATCTGCATTTTGAGAAGATGCTTGGGTGCTGCACAGCACACAGGTTGGAGAGGCACCGTCTGCGGGTGCTGCATTCTTACAGCTTAACTTGGTGAAAGGACAGAATGGGGCTCCAGAGAGGTGTCAGCAACCTGAGCAGGTGTGAGAAGTCTCATTTCACCTCCCTGGGTTCCTGGAGGCTAAAGCTGTTCAGCTCCCAGAAAGGCAAGGAGGTCTGTCTGCCAGGATGGAAGGACACAAATGAGTGACGACAGTTCCAGGCTACACGTCCCCTGACTATAGACCTTAGAGGACAAGGGACTTGGTGCATTTTTTTATTACCCCTTCTGCCTAGATTTTCCAGGACCTTCCAGATAAAATGTACTACATTTTGTATTAGATTGGAATGCACTGGGCTGCAGGTATCAGAGACCCAACTAACAGTGGCTTAAACAAATAGAAGTTTATTGTTCTCACAGAATGAGCAGGGAGGGGTGGATGATGTGTGGCTGGGGGATGGCTTGGCCATGCCGGCGGGGATAGAGGTTCTCCCTGCCTTCCCCTCTAGACTCCAAGCACTTCCACTTTCTGTCCTCAGGTTGGTGGCCTTATGGCCTCAGGATGAATTGCTGTAGCTTGAAGCATCATGTTGATGCTTTCGAGACAAGAAAGGAAAAGGGGGAAGCCAATGAATATGACCTTCTTTTTCAGGAGAGCAAAATATTTCTTATAAACTGAACACTTACTTCAACTGAAGCCTCGTTTGTGGTGCTACAATGCCATTTGGACCCAAGAGAGTCTGGGAAATAAGTCACTGACAAGAGGGCCAAGCAGCTGTGAGGAGCTCAGATCAATCCTGATCCATTGCCTAGAGCCAAAGAGAACCAAGAGGGAGCCAGCCAGGGCCCGGAGACACCTCTTGTAGGTCTTCTGGTCTTTGCATGATGGCCCTGATCATGTTGGCTGTTCATTTACATTTCCGACCCCTTCTGGGTTACGGAACCCTTAAAGGCAGTGAACATGTCTTAGTTGTCTCAATATGTCCCTGGTGCTAACACACCAGGCACAGAGGGTGCTCAGTGGATATTTACAGAAGGAATGAATGAGGATGCCCTCAGTGCCCATTACCCAGAGCCACTCATCCCCAAATGTCTTGAGATGGTGGCATCGGCTTTATCTCATAATTGGCTTTATCTCCATAATGACTTATCTTTTCAAATTGGAACCAGTCTTCAGATAACTGGGGCAAAGTCATAGAGAATCATCTAGCTTGAGACTGAAGTTTCAGTTCCATGGAGCCTGGCTTAGGAGTACGATCAGAGGTGGTCAGCAGCTGCCAGACTCACCCACTCCCACGACTACATAAAAAGAAGGAACAAAATAAAAGCCAGCCTCTGGGGTCAGGCGAAGCCATTTGTTCTTAAGGGGAGTCACAGGCAAGGCTGCGCTGTGTGCCTTGGAG